TAATTATTACATTGCTTCATGACTCACATATGATTTGTTGATCATAAAATATTAATTTGTTTAGTTAATTTTCACTTCTAATTTTAGCAATTTATAAATTATATTTTTTAATCTCTCATTGCAGTCCTTTAAGAGAATCATATGCATTTTTGTTTGTAATTTCTCTTGAATATTTTCACAGAGTGAATGATCAATTCATCTGGGCTATAAGTAGAGAATGTGATGTATGTATTTTATAAAAAAATATAAATTATTATTAAAAATAGTCACATGACAGATAGAATTTCATTAAAAAATTAATTTTAAATAATACATAAACACACATTTGCTTTGTTGTCGGTCCGCTTGGTGCATTTTTTATTTTTCTAGAAAGATTTAATTGCAAACAAATAAAATCTTACGTATTTACATATATAACACCAAACCTTCAATTTTTACTTACTTGCTATATTCTATGCAGGAAAAGATTTATTTCATTTTTTAAAATCAAATCAAAGCTTTGATATTTTTTCATTTTAAAAAATTATTTAGACTATTGAATTAAATTAAATTAATTCAAATTTAAAATATATTATTTAACTCAATTTATTTTAATTCAATCTAAATTATTAAATTAATTTTTTATAATTTTTTTAATTTTATGTAATTGCATTTAAAAATGAATTAAATAATTATATTGATTATGATTAATTAATTTACTTTAAATTACTGATGAAAAATATCTTATATTAAGTTAACAATATAATTAAAGAGAAATATTTATTAGTAAAAATAATCTCTCAAATAAAATTACTTTTTTCACTGGGAAAAAAGAAACAGCTCATCACATAAATTTAATTAAAAAAAGGCGGCATTTAAATGCATACCACCAAATTCCTATGTATTACATATTTAACACCTAAACTTTATCTTTTACATTTATACCACACAAATCTTTCATATGATATAAAAATGTCATTAATTTAACTGTAAAAAAATAAAATGCACCTTCATTTCCAAAAATTAGGTGGCTTATATACAAACATTTCAGATTAGATGTTACATATGTAAATACATAGAAATCAAATGATAGATATCTAAATCTTCCCGCACAAAAAAAAAAAAAAAAAAAAAAAAAAAAAAAAAAAAAAGCAAACAAACATGGTGAAAGAGGTAACGTAAGAAATTAAAAAATAATAAATAAAAAATTGGTTGAAGGACTTTTATCTTGCCGTCTACGTAGGAATACGGTCCCTCAGTGTTTAGGGCGACCGAGCCGAATTAGATTTTTTTTTTTGAAGATTTATTATTTTAATATATACTAAAAATTTTCATGACTTCTTTATTTTTCAACATTTGAGGTTTTTCTGATAGGAGCAGTAGGGGTCAGGGTATGAGGAAATATCATGTGTGGATAACATACGTGCGAATTAGTAGTATTGTGGTGTTATTGTAACAAATATCACCACACCATAAAACCATTGAAACTGCACCTACCCTATTCGCATGTAAATTTTCCTCCAAAGGGGGTGGGGGAATAGACTCTGGGAGCTGCTTATTTTGTTACGAGAATGAGATTGCGAGTGTGAGCTATGTGTCTATGTCGACGGTGAGGTAGAAGAAAAAATATTACGTGTGCAATTTAGATATATGGACGGCGGCGTAAATATTCTCTCAAGCTAAGATGGGATGATGGTGGCAAGAGAGTGAGTGAGAGCTTCATTTAGGCCCAGCAACAACAACATTTATTAGTCATGATGTGTAATATTTAAAATGAAAATAAATGGTGGCAAGAGCGTGAAACATGCTTCCAACAAGAAACGTAGTGACAACAATGTGGAGAGATACATCTCAGAGACACTCCCAACAGAGAACGTGTGTGGAGTTCATGCAACAATAAGTCTGGAGTCAAAAACACCATTTTATTCATCTTCCTAGAGGTTTTGGCAAGGAGTAGAGTACCACAAAATTTAAACATTATAAAAATTAATTTAATAATTTAAATTGAATTAAAACTAAATTGAGTTAAATAATATACTTTAAATTTGAATTAATTTATTTAATATAATGCTCTAAATAATTTTTTAAAATGAAAATAAAAATATTTCTTTCACAATTTTCACGTTCTATTCCAACTAATTGTACCCAAAAATTAAAAAGGAAAATAGAGAACCATTTAACTCTGGACCAATTACATTAATAAAAAAAAGACATTTACATATGCCACACAATTCTCATGTATTTACATATCTAACACCTAAACTTTGACTTACCCCACAAATCTTTCACATCAAATTAAAATATCATTATTTTGATTTGATTTTAAAAAATAAAATATTTTTTTTTTGCATAGAATGTCGCATGCAAGTCAATATTTAGAAAAATTATTCCATACGGATCGCTTGCGTGCGGTGTCCGATCCGGACCGTAAATCACCTGATCTACGGTCCCGATGCATTTCGCTGGGCCCACCGATTTTTTTTTTTTAACGGAAATAATCCTGACCGTAGATCACCGTGATCTACGGTCAGGATCGGACACCGCATGCAGAGATGCATGCGGTGTCCGCACGCAATAATCCCTCCAATATTGAAAGTTGTAAATACAAAATTTTTTATTTGTTTGCATGTAAATCTTTCTAGAAAATAAAAAAGTGTCGCCGCACCAGCGGAACATGAGCGAGCCCAAACCCAGCTTATATTCGGCTCGTTTATATTTCGAGCTCAACAAGTGTGTTCGTGTTCGGCTCGTTTGCTTAGCGAGCCAAACACGAGTCGTTCACAAAGAAAGAGTAACAACCCTAATCGCGTAGTCTTCAGATGATAAGGATTGAGACAAGATTTAAAATATCAATTGAATCTAATTTAATAATTTTTATTCTATTTTCTTCATTAATACTTTAATTGATTATAAATCTTTGTAGCCTTGTAGTTAATTAAAATTTTAAAAAATACTACTTATGAAAGAGAAAGATATATATATATATTATATATATATATATGATTGATTACTAGTGTTTCAAGCCAAAACAAGCCGAACACGAACGAACAAGATACATATACTACATTCTTTAGTTGTAACATAGCTGAATTGATCCTCCACTCTGAAAATGTCTAAGAGAAATTACAAATAAACATGCATATGGTCCTCTTGAAAGACTATAATGAGAGATTAACAATTTTAATTTAGAAATTGTTATAATTAGAAGTGAAAATTAACTAAACAAATTAGCCTTTTATGATCAACAAATCATAAGGGAACCACGAAAATAATGCAATATCTCATTCATAATAATAATAAAAAAATTAAAAAAAATAATGAATGCAATCATAACATCTCGAGTATAAGACCTAATGCATATGAAATAAGTATGAATTAAAAAAAATAAAAATGATGAATGCAACCAAACCTAGCTAGAGTTCATGAAACTGCATATACTCACAGTCATTTAACAACAAATATATACACCAATTAACCTCTAAAAATTATTTTCAAATATTTGCAAATCAAAGCAATATGATCTTCCCTAAAACCTCATTAAGCATTCATGCATCCGACGTCGGAATCAGATTGTTGGTTTGGTTGAATTCCCTGTCAGAAAACATATTAAATAATATATTGAATATGAATCTCATATAATAAATGAACTATGAAGTATAAAAGCAAAACAGCTTCAAAGCCAATAAGAAATAAACACCTTAAAGTTTTAGCTCTCATATTACATTCTCTCAAAAACTTTCGATAAATTGGAGCAATCAATCTCTTCCTTCTGATTTTGGATACATTGAAGTTGTCATCAGATTCACTCAATTCAGATTTCGAACTCCCAATGCTGCTTTGAATTTTATGATCTTTTACACATTCATGAGAACAACTTTATGTCACCACTTCAGAAAAAGCTAAAGTTAATTATATTAAGCACTTATTATGTCAAAATGAATTGAAACGAAATATAATACATAGATCGAATT